GATATTTGACTAAACGTGATTTGTGTGTACTAGATGTGTCACCAATATATATTCGTAAATAATTTTTTTTTAATTATAGTACTTAATTAAGTAGGATGAGAGATTAAAATATATTACACGAAAAAATAATATGGAAGAAGAGGTTGTTTATATTTTGTTTTAGTGGAGTTTAAAAATTATAATAACTAGATACTAATTTTAATAAAAAAATAATTTATCTTATTTAAACCACATAATAATAACATATATTGGGGAAGAAGAAGATGTTGGCAATAACTATTTCTTGATTTTTTAATTACTAATTTTAAATAGATGTATTGCATTTTTTAAATTAATCTTATGGTACTTAAATATTACAAAATAATATATTCTATTTGTCTAAAAGAATTTGAAAAAAATTTAAAATAATTTTGTGAATTTAAAATTAAAATCTCATAAAAAATTAAATCTAAATTATAACAACTCATAATTAAGAAATCCTGGGACTAAGAGCTTGATTGGATGATTTGCATGATAATTCATTAATGTTGGGTATGGTATGATATGTGCAAAATTCATTAATGTTCAAATTTAATTATGTTTGGATGATGATCTATTAATATCTAGTAATGACATTTATTTTTATTTGAATTGACAGTATGATATGACTGTATATTTGAACAAATTTTCTATTTTGTCGATAGTTTATTGCAATAATAAATAAAATAAAAAAAATATTAAAAAAATATATAGTATTAAATATAGAGATATATAAATATATAGTTAAATATATACATATATATAATATATATAATTAAACATATATATAATTAAATATATTATATACATATATAATTAAAATAGTATATACATGTATATTTATAAGTAAAATATTATATACATGTATTTATATATAATTAAATATATAAATATATGTATATATATAATAAAATATATATACAATAAAATTGATATAATCAAATATATTATATATGTAATATTCAGGTTTGAAATTTGGTCTGATATTAATTTTAAAATTAAAAAAAATATATATAAAAATATAGTTTTTAAATTTATAAATTTTTATTTAATGTAAAATGAGGAAAAAAATGAATGGATGATGAAATTGAAAATAATTTTTTAAAAAATGGGTGAAAATTTGGGTTCGGAGGGTATTTATAAAAGATAAATTAAAAACTGGGAGTCAAAATGTAATTAAAAAATTTGTGCCACCTAGGACTGCCCAGTCACCAATCCTGACGAATCAGAACGTGCCGCGTGATAAGATACACTGACTCGGTGCCACGCGGGAGGTCACACTGGCAATCTGCTTGCCCGCGATCGGATGGACCGGATGCGTTCCCACGCGCGTGGACGATCCGGATTCGTTCTCTCCTCAGGCACGATTGGACGATCGTGATTAAACGCGATGAACGACATAGATTCGTTCTCTCTTTAAACACGATCGTACGGTCGAGATCAAATTGTGATGAACAGTTTAGATTCATTTCATCTTTAAATACGATTGGACGGTCGAGATCAAACACGATGAATGGTCTAGATTTAAGGGAGATGAATATAAATATTTCGCATCACATCGAACCAAACTCTAGCCACCAGTCCCCCGCTGAAGAAGAAGAAGTAGTCGCTGGAGTAGGGAGCCAACCGCTGGCCGCCGCCGCACCAAAGCCACTTCTGACAGCCAAAAAAGGTAAAAATTCTTCTATCCATTCGGAATTTGATTTCGAACACTCCCATGGCCAAATCAGAGCAAAAGAAATCGCGGATGAGCTGAAAACTGCGGGTAAAGCCCTGCATCACCACTGCGAGCAAAACTAAAAATTGCTTCCGATGAGCCCATTTCATTTTTCGTTTCGTGTAATTTTTTCACCATTGTGTTCACCGTTCTGTTTTTTACAAGTTGGCCGAAGAGAAACGCACAGGTGTGAAGGTGAGCCGGTGGAGCCACCACACAAGAAAATTCTGCCACTATAATTTTTTTTTTTTTGACTTTTTTCAGCAAACTGAGGTCCGCTAACATTTTTTCTCACATGGATAAGTATAAAACCAACCAAATTTTTGCCAAAAATGGCTGAAAATGGCCAGACCGAGGCAAACTGCCGCTGCAAGCGATTGTGCTGTTGCCAGAGCATGGCAGTGCCTCTGTGCTGGAATTCTAATTGTCCGAAAAATATTTTTAACACAAAATTTAGATTTTTAAAGGTATTTTTAGGTACGTAAAGCGTGTTTTAATTTTTGTAAAAAAATTCAAGAAATCCAGTGACCGTCAGTAGGTACAGTAGAACCTTCGGTATTTCGAACACCGATTCGGGTAATAATCTCTCACCTTATTTCCTGTTATAGAATTGAAGTTTAATTATCAATAATACGGTATTTTGCATAATTTAAAAAACTTTTAGAATTAATTATAGGTTACTAATGAAAACAAAATCAATTATTTATTATTGTTGTCTTGTTTAACTGATTATTTGATTTTATAACTTTAAATGCATGATAATATACTAGAATTGGTAAAATTATTCAGTTGTGTTTCCTTGATGCATGTATTGTTTATCTTGCGTTGATTTACGATTAGATTGTGAAATTAAAAATTAAATATAAATAGAAAATTGATTGGTTAAGTAAATGAATGAATGACAGTTTTATTGGATATCCTGAGATATGGTGGAGGAATCAAGTATATAAGGACTCAGAACGTCGCCTCATATCTGACAGAGTATTGAAGATTGGTATTTTTGGTGCTTATACCGGACGGAGTATAGAGACAGTCAGTTTCACTATCATACCTGACGGGGTATTGAAGAATTATATTTTTGGTGCTCATATTGGATGGGTATGAGGATTGTCAGTTAGTTAACAAAGTTGGATGTTGGTTCACGCGTAATGAGATATCCCTATAGACCCCAATGGATACCCAGTAGGCAAATAAAAATGAAAAATTATTATTTTTGCTTACTTGAATATGAGATTATGATGTTGTTGAGCTATTATTTCTATAGGTCAATTTTGAAAATCTCGCAGCGGTAAGTAAGTAATAAATTATTTTACTTATGATAAATGAATTTACTTAAATTAAGAGCTCAATTGAGTATTTTTATTATTTTTACGAACTTTCATTTTATGTATCGGTGAGTAGTGTGATATTCTTACTTGGTTAGTATAGCTCATAATTTTATTAACTATTTCAGACCAAGAGAACCAAGACCCAGATCCCGATCAACAAGAGAGTGCTGAATAGTTTACCACCTGAACTCTTTCAAAAGTTAGTGAAAGTCGTCTTAAGATGCTCAGTTGTTTATTTTTCATTTATTTCTTTGATTTTTATTTCTTCTTTTAGAATGGATATTCTTGTAACCCTATTGGATATTTTAAATTATTGTGTAATAAATGTAAACCCTAACTTTATTATTTCGTATCCGCATTCAATTAATGTATTTATTTTCTTTTAAATTCCGGATCGTTGCAATATACATGTATATATAATTAAAAATATAAGTACATGAATTTAATTAAATATATATTTATATAAAAAATATATAATTAAATATATATATACAATAAAATAAGAAGAAGAAGAGGTGTGCGGCTCTTCTTGAATTAGTGCCGGGTAGAAGAAAAATAAGAAGAAATTCTAGAGTAGAAGAAAAAGAAGAAGAGTAAAAAATGTAGGTTAGAATAGTTTAAAATGAAAAATAATTTTATAAATAATAAAAAATATTAAGTATATAAAAAAAATTATCAAATCATCTTAAAACTATTAATTCGGTAGTTTGAAAAAATGAAAAAAATAATAGTTTTAATAACCATGACTCAACTATCAAAAAATCATACTATATATTTGAAAGTATAAACAAACAAAAAAAAATTATAAAAAAATCATACTATCATTATTGAACTATCATCCGAATAAATAAATTTTTAAATAATATAAAAAAAATAAAAAAAAACTTTAAAAAAACAACACATTTATTGAATTATCATTTAAACAAACAGATTCTTAAATATTGTTAAAAAAAAAAAATTATAAGTAACGCTGAAAAAAAAAACGGAACAGAACTGGCAGAAGCAAATGGGACCTGCAATTGCTACTTGATAAACCTTACCTTGGGGGACGTGATTATATTAAAATTCATTTTATATATGTAAATAAATATATCCGAAGAAAAAGAAATCTTTTTTCTTTCTTCAAACTCACTTCCATCTCCTGCTTTTCTCTCTGCAAAAAATCGAGGGAATGGAAGGAAGAATGGAAATGGAAGTGAGAGTGGTGGGAGGAATC